TACACACATAATTGAAACCAGTGTCCATTGAAACCCTGTGTGATGCCTTTTAATATTTTCTATTCTATCCCATGCCATTTGATCCTATACTCTGACTTAAAAGAAATCCCTGGTCACAACCTGCTAATTTGATTTCACAACCCTCAAAGGCGTGGCCCGTAGTTTGAAAAAGACTGACTCAGAACAGCCTTTGTTTACATCTTGGAGTTGGCAAGTGTTACCCTGAGACTGGGCTTCTATGAGCAAGGCAAGGAGGACTGGGGAAATGGTGTTTGGAAAAGCAACAGCTAGACTTTGCCATATCCTCTTCTCTGCCTGTCACTTCCCATCAGCAAATGATAGGGTTCCATTGACTCTTTTTTATGACTTGCAAATAACCTGAGGGTTAGTAGCATTCCTATCAGGAAATTAAAATAAGCCTGTTTATGGAGCTTCATGAGGACTTTGAATTCTGTGTCCTGCTCAGCACCCTGGCTTCAGCACAACTCCTGATGACAACGCAAAACTCCGAAGGCATTCCAAATGCTGGAGGAATTCACACAATTTTCTGGAAGGACACTTTGTCATTGTTGCGTCATGGCTGTTCTCTTGAGCTGGTTGTGGTTTTGCAGGCCTGGCTTCTCATGCTTTTTATAGCCTGGTGCTGGAGAATGAGGTTCTTCGGAATCACAGGGCCTGGGTTCAGAGTCTGGTCCCACGGTGTGATTTGGGGCAAGTGTCCTGACCCCTGTGAGCCTCAGTTTCCTGCACTATGAAATGGGAAACATTCCTCCCATCTCCCTGGAGACTGGGAGGAGTCAATATGGAGTTAACACAAGGCTTGATACTGAGGAAGCCCTACTGGGGTAGGGGGGTGCTCTTCCAAGGTGTATCAGTCAGCTTCGACTGAGTGATGTGGAGTAACAAGTGAGCCCCAGATCTCAGTGGCTGCAGCTGCAAAATGCTCCTCTCTTGCTCATGTGTCCAAGCTTCGAGGGTTGGCTGTGACCCTATCCATGTGTCTGCATCGTGCTGGGACTTGAGCAGAACCATGCAATGGCTTTCTAAACTTCTGCTCTGCAGGGGCGGAAGACGTCCTCTCATGGGGATATTTTGGGGTCGCAGCTTTGCATGCTAATTGTGTGTCCCCTGCCCCAGTCTCCCGGTCTTTTTTTTTTTTTTTTTTTAAAAGCTTTTGAGTATGTGTGTGACATTGGGCATCCAGTGTCATCCCTTGTTAAGAACCACTAAGCGTCATCTTCCCCAAGGTCAAGGGCTAGAGGATCTGATTGCTCATTACGGGATCCTCACACAGAACGGACAGTGAATAAATGCCCTTTTCACCAGGGTGCTCTTTAAACGAATGAATGAGTTTGTTTTAACCCTCCCTGAAAATTCATTCATTCATCCCACAAGTATCTAGTGAGCTCCTTCCATGTGCCGTGTGCTGTGTGGACTCTGAACGTCCCACAAGGAACAAAACAGACAAAAATCCCTGTAGGTGGAGGGTTGACATTTTCGTAGGGGAGACAGACAGTAAACAGTCAGAAGCTCGTATGATTTCTAATGCTCAAGTATTTTCAAAGTAAAAATTTTTCAGTTTTTTGAAAATTGCCAATTTGCACAAAGCAGAGAGAATAGTAAAACTTGAACTGCATCAACCAGTGCTTTACCCGTCTTCAGTTTTCCACCACTCTGACGGACCAGCCCTGTCCAAGGGGGCTTCCTGCCACCACGGGAATGTTCTAGATCTGTGCTGTTCCTCGTGTTGGCCACCAGCCACGTGTGGCAGTCGAGCCCGCGAAATGTGGCGGGGGTGACTGTGAACTGGGTACTTGAATTTCCCTTACACTTTTAATGTGACTCTGTTTTATTGAAAACGTTCATATTCCGATTGTCCCCTTTTTTCCATCTCTTTATTGTGGTTAAAACACCCATAACAAAACTGGCCATCGCAGCCATGTCTAAGTGTATGAATCAGTGACATTAAGTGCATGTTCATAGTGGTGCAGCCGTCACCCCATCCTCTCAGACTTGCTGCATCTTGCAGAACTGAAACCGCACACCCACTAAACAGTAATTCCTCGTTTCTCTCCACCCCACCCCCCAATCCCTGGCAAACTGCATTCTACTTCTTGTCTCTCCATCATGAGTGGAATAAGATGGTATCCTTGGCTTTTTGTCACTGGCTGACTTCACTTGGCACAAAGTCATCCATGCCGTCCCTTCAGCCTTTCCCCCCGACTGATAGTTCTGTTGTAAACAGATACCATGATTGGCCTATCCATTCATCTGTTGGCCGACACCTAGGTGGTTGTACCTCTTGGCTCTTGTGAATCATGCTGCTATGAACAGGGCTGTATCAATATGCCCTTCCAGACCCCACTTTCAATTCTTTTGTGTTATATATATTCAGAAGTGGACATGCTGGGTCATATGCTAATTCTATTTTTAATTTTTTGAGGAACCACCAAAGTGTTTTCCACAGCAGCTGCATCATTTTACGTTCCCACCAACAGGGCACAAGGGTTCCAGTTTCTCCAGGTCCTCAGCGACACTTGTTAATTTTTGAATTTTTGCTGCTGCTGCTAAGTCGCTTCAGTCATATCCGACTCTGTGAGACCCCATAGACGGCAGCCCATCAGGCTCCCCTGTCCCTGGGATTCTCCAGGCAAGAGTACTGGAGTGGGGTGCCATTGCCTTCTCCATGAAGTTTTGCTAGTCACCTTTTAATAGGAGTGAGGCAGCATCTATGGTTTCAATAGCATTACCCTAATGATTGGTGGTGGTGATCATCTTTTCGTGTGCTTATGGCCATTTGTATGTTGTCTTGGGACAAATACCTACTCCATTCCTTTGCCATGATTTCATTTCATCAGCTTGAACTTAAATGTACATAGTCACGCATGGCTAGTCATGCATGGCTAAGTGGATACTATTTTGAACTGCACAGGACAATTTGCCTCTGAACTCACACAACTGGGTTATTCCACAGTTAATCACAGTCGTTTTATCATGTCACTTCTACATATTTTATGATGTATTTCTGAAAGGTAAGGACTCTAAAGAAAAAAAAAAGAATACAATGCCATTGTTACACACCTAGAATCCATTCTTTCTTTCTTTTCTTTCCTTCCTTCGCTGGGTCTTCGTTGCTGCCGGGGGCTATTCTCTAGTTGCGATGTGTGGGCTTCTCACTGCAGTAGCTTCTCTTGTGGCGGAGCACGGGCTCTCGAGAAAGCTTCAGTAGTTGCAGCTCGAGGTCTCTAGAGCCCAGGCTCAGTAGTCGCAGGGTTATGCTGGGTTTTCGTGGATAGGGGATCGAACCCGCATCTCCTGCATTGGCCGGCGGGTTCTTTACCACTGAGCCACCAGGGAAGCCCTGAGCTGTGAATTTTTAAACCCCCATATAACTGACTCTGCATCGCAGTGTAGGATCTGTCCTCTCCCTGGAAAGCCCCCCTCACCCATTGCGCAGCTGTCACCATCAGAATGAAAACGCAGGGATGACAGATTCTTATAGCCTGGTGCCTCCTGCTGGACATTCACCCGCAGATCCCACTTGGAGAGCTCCGTTCAGGAAACACCCGCCTCCTGGCTCTCCTTCTGGTCCGAGGTTTACAGAACTTGGGCCACACCCGAAACTCGGGGCAGGGAGGAGGGGTGGGGGGGACCCACGTGGAGCTGGCAGCTCTCATGAAGCCGCTGCGGGTGCTTGGGATTTCTTCCAGGCCAGGGCAGTGCCCCTGGAGCCTGGGTGGGCCAGGACTCCATGTTTCTGTGACAGAGGCCTTGTAGACCTTTCCGGGGGTCTGGGGCTCTCAAAAGGAGCAGCAGCTCCCGTCCCTCCTCTCTCTTCCATCCACTCGCCCTTATCGCGTCTTTGGATCTGAGCTATCCCAGGCATTCACAAAATGCTAACAAAGGCTTGTCACTCAGCTCTGTCTTATCTTGACGCTGTGGCCATGTTTGCTTCACATTTTGAAGAGAAACAGCAGGATGAGAGGGCCGTCTGTGGGATTGTGGTTAAGGGCGGGGACTCTGCAGTCAGCCTGCTTTGGCTCAGATCCCAGCCTGGCCACTGACCACTGGAGGCATCTGGGGGGGTGGCATATGGCTCACCATTTGGAGCCTCGCCATCCTCATCTGCAGAATGGGGCTACACAGAGCACCCGCCTCGTAGGGATGCAAGGTTGGTGACACAGGCGAAACACGCAGAGTACTTAAAACCAGCAGCTGTCATCACCGTCATCACGTCAGGTCAACACTCGGTGTTCGTGGATTCCGTATTTGCGAGTCCGCCCACCCGCTGACATCAATAACCCTCAGATCGGTGTGGGGCTTTCCCGGTCACGTGCAGAGTCTTGAAGTGTTTGAGTCTGCCAGTGCACACCCCCAGCGGAGGTGGAACACAGTGACCCTCTGCCTTCTCAGTTCAGCTGTCAACAAGCATCCTCCGTAGGGCCCTGTGGTTTGTGCTTCTGTGCTTTTTGTGAGTGGTTTTGCTTTGAAACACAGCCCCTCCCGCACAGAGGTGGAAGGCCACCCAGTGCTCGTAAGCCCAGCAAGGCTGCAGTGAGCTCTATGGAGAAAGCACGTGTGGGAGATGAACCTGAGTTGCAGCGCTGTTGGCTACAAGCTCAGTGTGAGCGAATCGCCAATTTATATTCAACAAGGTGTCTTTAAACAGAAACACACATAAAGGTAGTGTGTTGCTGGGTTGATGAGAATGGGGCCAGAGGCTGGCAGGAAGCTAACCCTGTGTTTCCTCAGGGCCGATGGCTCAGGAGTGCCGGCGGATTATGCCGTGTGGTGGTGTATGCTGTTGCGTGATGTATGTATATGTACATACACAATGCAGGTAGATACGGTGTTGTCTGCACTTATCATGTATGTGATCGTGTACAGCGTTGTTTCCTGTGGTTGTACACTTGGGTTTGACCTCTCCTCTCTCTGGCTACATCTTTCTCTTTTTCACTGACGGTCCCACTCACAGCCTCTCTCTCCCTCTCTCTCCACAGCTGGCCCCCGAAAGGACACTCCCCAAGTCCCCAGCTGGGGGCCCCGCGTAGACCTGGAGTGGACACCCCCTCCTTCCCTTCATGATTCGTTTGTAGCGCAGGTAACCAGCCAAGCGTCAGCTCATTCTCAGAGGGGCTGTGGTCCCCCACCTCCTCCATCCACCTGCCTGGACGGGACAGTCCTCCTTGACTTACCCACAACCCTCAGCCCCACCCTTTCCAGCCTGGGGCCCCGGGGTCATTCAGGCCATCCCCCTGCCTCCTCGCCATCTGCAGGCAAGGCGGGATCTCCCTCCCACATACCCCTCTTCTCCACGTGCTCTGCAGATCTCGCCAGGTTGCTCCCTGGCCAGGCCTTGCCCACTGTGGGCTGGTGGGGAAGGGCAGGGGCTCATCGGCCACGGAGCTGGTGACACGGGAGAAGGAAAAGAAGGAAGTGTGGGTGGGGGTGGGGATATGAAGCCCGGTGCAGCCAGAGTCTTGGAAGGGAAGGGCCTCTCTGGGGTCGGTGCCCAGGGCCAGCTCTAGAGGGGAGGGTGATTGGCGTGTGAGGTCCTGAAGATGGGTGTTTCTGTTCTAGACTGGCCTTGTAACCCCGGGCCCGTGAAGTGTGTACGTGTGTGCATACGTGTGTGCAATTCCCATGCAGAAGTACGTGGAACATTTCTGGCCCACATGTGTGTTTCTGGCCAGAGGGTCATTTTGCTTTCATCAGACCCTCCAAGACACAGTTCAGAGAAGACCCTGAACTAGCGATGCAGGGTTCCTCCCAAGGCTGTGTTACAAAGCCGTTGAGGTTACTAGGGTTGGGGTAGTNTGTGTCTTCCATGGGGACCCAGAACCTGGGCCCCTCCACACCTGCTCTGGGCCAGCCCTGCCCTCAGGAGGCAGAGCGCAGGCTCGGGGGCCAGACCTCTGGCCCTGTTAGCCGGGAGACGGAGAACCGCAGCCTCTGCTCTTGCATCAACTCCTCTGCGAAGCTGGGGGCGGCAGGACCCACCTCGAGGGATTCCCTGGGGGTTAACCGCGTTAGCGTGTGTGAAGCACTTAGCACGGGGCCCGCACGTGATCAGGGCTCACTTAGTCAAGACTGACGTCATCGTCGTCACCGGATGCTGGGGTGACAGAGGGAGGAGGAAAAGGCAGCCGTGTCTCTCTGGTCAGAGCTGCTGGCGGGGAGGGCTCCTGTCCCGCCCCGTGCCCATAGACTCCAAGGGTCTGGGCCCCCAGGGGAGGGTCCTGGCCCACCGCTGCCATCTAACCTGTCGCCCTCTTCCCGCCCTGCCCCGTCCAGTGGCGATGGATGATGAGGATGGGAGATGCTTACTAGACGTGATTTGGTGAGTAGTGGGCTTCCCGTCCCCCCTCCCCGCCTCGCTCTCCCGCCCCTCCCCTGTCCCTCGTCTCCTCAAGTGTCTCCTTCTCTCTTGCAGTGACCCTCAGGCCCTCAATGACTTCTTACATGGATCCGAGAAGGTGAGTGCTGGACAGGCTGAGGCATCCCCCAGGGCAGCGGGGAGCTGTGAGTCAAGCCCCCCCCACACCCACACTGAGTAGACATCTGCCTTCCAGGAACCAGGCCCCAAGGTCATGGCGAAGGGGGAAAGAGACAGCAAATCCCTGCCCTCACACCATACACATTTCCTTGGTAAACAAGCAACCAGTAATTAATAAGGGCATTGGTGGAAAGCACCACGCTGGGCAGCATAAGAAATAGTAACATCACTTTTGCACTGAAAATGAATGGGAAGTGGGGGGAAGAGGGCAGGGGCTCCTTTAGCTGCAACGGGCAGAGAGGTGACATTGAGGGTGAACTTGAAGGATCAAAGGGAGGGACCCACTGTGCTCTGACCAGGGGAAGAGCAGGTGGGAAGGTAGGAATGTCTGACACGTTCCAGGAACAGAAAGAAGGCCAGTGGGGCCAGGATGAAAGGGAAACTAGTAGGTGGTGAGACTGGAGTGGACAAAACCCACCAGGTCATGCAAAGCCTAGAGGAGCTTGACTGAGGAGTTTGGACTTTATTCTGAATGTGACAGGCAGCTCTGACAGGGTATTAAGCAGCCACACGGTATATTCTGTTTGCACTCCAGAGAATGGAACAAAGCGGGGAAGAGGGGACATCGGTTGAGCCATGAAGGGTGTTATCACTTATCCAGGGCTGCATAACAAGTTACCCCAGCACGCTGTGGCTTCTCATGACTTCTAATAACATTTGTTAGCGCTCTGTTTCTGGGGGTTGGGAATGGGGGAGCAGTCTAGCAGGGTGTCTGGCTTGGGGTCTTCCCTGAGTAGCATTCAGGATGTTGGTTGGAGCCACTGTCGTCTGGCGGCTTGCCTAGGGCTGGGGGGCCTGCTCCCATAGCGACTCACCCCTGTGGCCATTGGCTGGAGGCCTCAGCTCCTCCATGTGGGCCTCTCCAGGGGATTACTTGGGCGTCCTCATGACGTGGCAGCTGGTTTGCCCAAGCGAGGGACCCAGGGGAGAGAGCCAGGAGGAAGCTGAGTGCCTCTTATGACCTAGTCTCCGAAGTCACACTGCCTTCGCTGGAAGCGAGTCACCATGCCCACCCACACTCTCAGGGAGGGAAAAGAGCTCCACTCCTCAAGGGGGTGTATGGAATACTTTGCGGAGCAGTGGGAGGACAGCAGCCCGGGCCCCAAGGCAGGCGGTGGAGGAGGTGCCAGGAGCTGCTTTGGGGTGGGTCTGGAAGGCAGCGTCACTCGACTTGAGGGTTGATTGGATGGTGAGGAAGAAGTGTCCAGACTGCCTCCTGGACTTGACCTGAGCAACTGAATGGGTTTTACCGTTCCCCTGAGACTGGGAGTTTGGGACAGGTCCCAGAAGTCCGAGGGTGGCTGTTGGATATATTGTATTGGCCAAAAAAAGTTGGTTTAGGTTTTTCTGTAAGATGTTATGAGGAAACCCAAATGAACTTTTTGGCCAACCCAGTACCAGTCTAGGGTTCTGGAAGGGGATCAGCTAGAAACTGGGGGGCTCGGCTGTGGACAGACAGTGGGCGCTTGAGGCCTGTTCTCGGCATTGATGATAACTTCTGGAATGAGACCGGTCCCTGCCTTCCCAGACGTGGGAACAGCTCACACATCTGGCACCCGGGGAGCCGGGCTGTGCAGAGGAAGGACTACTTTCATAGGAAGGGACAGATGGACACGTGTTGGGAGGAGGTGGTACATGTGACAGGCCCTGTAGGATGTTACCAAAGAAGCAGAAGGTGAAGGGCCAGGGGCACTGCTTGGGTTAAGATGCGTTGGCAGGGTTCTTGAGAGTTCCAGGAAGGTGTGTTGGGGAGCCTTGGACGTGGTGCTGGGGGCTCCTTAGGATTTAAACTTGCAGCCAAGCCCCTTTCTTTGGGGCCTCTTTTCTGGAGGTGGAGTTTCCCATACCCCTCGAACCTCCCCCACCCCCACATTCCCCCCCGCCACTTCGTCTTTGTCTTTGTGTCCATGTAACCCAAAAAAACCCCAAATTGGGTTTTGTTCTAGCGTGTGGGCCGGCCCACTGCCCAGCTGACCTTTGACCTTGGGTGGGGGCGGGTCTTGTTGCAGCTCGACAGTGATGACCTCCTGGATAATCCCGGGGAGGCCCAAACTGCCTTCTATGAAGGTCCTGGGGTAAGTGGCCATGGGGGCTTGGGGAGGAAGGTGGCTCTGGTCATCACCCAGGTCGCCCGTGGTAGCAGCCAGTGGGGGAGGCTTGGAAGGGGTCATACTCATTCCCTGAGGCACTTTGCCCCAGAGGTTGGGGGGTCGCGGTCACTGAGAGCAGAGTGGGGTACAGGTGAGGCCAAGGCTGCCAGATACCACCCCCCCACCCCCAGGCTGTGCCTCAGAGAAGGAGGTGCAGTTCCTGGGTCCCTGGCCTTGGGGATCAGCTGCTACAGTACTGGCATGGAGGCTGAGGCTGGCCCTGGAGTTTATGGAGGGGTGTGCTCCTGAGGAACGGGGGCTGGGGGGGGCGCTTGGGGTCCTGTCTTGGCTCAGCCGTGGCTGGAAGGTGACCTGGGGAACAGGATCCACTGGTACAGACCTCTGTCTCCGCCTAGAAAATGAGAGCAGGGATNGAGGGAGCAGTGCCCACCTCCCTGGGCTGTTACTGACAGCAACAACCTAGACAGTAATAGTAATGCCAGCATCAGTGACAGATGATGTTTCTCAGGTGCCAGATAGGAGCCAGGTACTGCTCTAAGCCGTCCATGTGGGATGAACTCAGAATCTTTTTAACAACAGTTTTGACCCATTATCAGTGGGTATTCCATGCTGCTAGTGTACTCGTTACTTATGGAATATTTGCTCAACAATGCATACATGTATTGATTGTGCATTCGTGACCTGGATCACCATCCGGAAAGCACTTAAGAAACCTCAGACTCACAGTGCACTTGGGACCGACTAAGGCTGCTGCTGCTCTTGGCGTTTAACGGAACCATGATCTTGATCCAAAACCTTTGGGGCCAGGCTTGTTGTGGGATTCAGGATTTTTCAGATGCTGGAAAGGCGATGCTGACTACATGTGTGCTGCGTGTAACGTAACACACTCACTTTTCTGTGGTCACACTGAAGGCAAGTCCTGTTACATGGCCAAATAACGCCTTTCCCTCTTGAGCATCAGTTGCATTCTGGCCAGGGCTTTCCAGCCTAAAGTTCTCAAAACATTTGCGGTTTTCAGAACCTTTGGGGTTTTGGAATTGCAGATAAGCATCATGGGGCTGTGTGGCTGTTTAGAAAATGGTTTTTGTTACATTCTGCTGATGTGCACAGATGGGGAAGAAAACAGGCCAGATTAAGGCAGCCCCAGGGTGCCCAGCTCAGCCCTGGCGAAGCTGGGATTTGAACCCAGGTCCAGCCACTTCTTGTAGAAGGTTCTTTCTCTCCCTGCCGCCCTGACACCAGGTACCCTTGGCTTCAGCCGTGTCCTGGGCCCAGCCCCTTGCTAACTTGGGCTCTCTCCTCCCCCACCTTCCCCGGCCTCCAGCTCCACGTGCAAGAAGCCTCTGGCAACCACTTGAACCCGGAGCCCAGCCAGCCGGCCCCCAGTGTGGACCTCGACTTCCTGGAAGATGACATCCTGGACTCGCCCGCAGCCGGGGGCGGCGGCGGGGGTGCTGGGGGTGCCGACCAGCCCTGCGACATCCTTCAGCAGAGCCTGCAGGAGGCCAATATCACCGAGCAGACACTCGAGGCTGAGGCTGAGCTGGACCTGGGCCCCTTCCAGCTGCCCACCCTGCAGCCTGCGGACGGCGGGGCTGGCCCGGCGGGGGCCGGAGGGGCTGCTGCCGTGGCCACGGGACCCCAGGCGCTCTTCTCTGGGGGCGCCGACCTGCTGGGGCTGCAGGCCCCGCCCACCGTGCTGACCCACCAGGCCCTGGTGCCACCCCAGGACGTGGTCAGCAAAGCCTTGAGCGTCCAGCCCTTCCTGCAGCCTGTGGGCCTGGGCAACGTGACACTGCAGCCCATCCCGGGCCTCCAGGGCCTGCCCAACGGCAGCCCTGGGGGTGCCGCAGCAGCCACACTCGGCTTGGCCCCCATCCAGGTGGTGGGCCAGCCCGTCATGGCACTCAACCCACCCACCTCCCAGCTCCTGGCCAAGCAGGTGCCCGTCAGCGGCTACCTGGCCTCAGCGGCCGGCCCTTCGGAGCCAGTGACCCTGGCATCGGCTGGCGTCTCACCCCAGGGGGCCGGCCTGGTCCTGCAGAAGAACCTCCCCGCCGCAGTGGCCTCCACACTCAATGGGAACTCAGTGTTCGGAGGGGCGGGAGCCGCCCCGGCAGCAGCCAGTGGGACGCCCTCAGGACAGCAGCTGGCGGTGGCCCCCGGCCTGGGCACATCGCCGCTGGTTCAAGCGCCGAACGTCATTCTGCACCGCACGCCCACGCCCATCCAGCCCAAGCCTGCTGGCGTGCTGCCCCCAAAGCTCTACCAGCTGACCCCCAAGCCGTTCGCCCCGGCGGGCGCCACACTTACCATCCAGGGCGAGGCCGGGGGCCTCCCACAGCAGCCCAAGGCCCCCCAGAACCTGACTTTCATGGCGGCGGGCAAGGCCGGCCAGAACGTGGTGCTGTCGGGCTTCCCAGCGCCCGCCCTGCAGGCCAATGTCTTCAAGCCGCCTCCAGCCACCACTACGGGGGCGGCCCCCCCGCAGCCCCCTGGGACCCTGAGCAAGCCCATGAGCGTGCACCTCCTGAACCAAGGCAGCAGCATCGTCATCCCCGCCCAGCACATGCTGCCGGGCCAGAACCAGTTCCTGCTGCCCGGCACGTCGGCGGTCCAGCTCCCCCAGCCGCTCTCGGCCCTGCCGGCCAACGTGGGCGGGCAGATCCTGGCGGCCGCGGCCCCCCATGCGGGCGGACAGCTCATCGCCAACCCCATCCTCACCAACCAGAACCTGGCGGGTCCGCTGAGCCTGGGCCCCGTGCTGGCCCCCCACTCAGGGGCCCACAGCGCCGCCCACATCCTCTCGGCTGCCCCCATCCAGGTGGGCCAGCCGGCGCTCTTCCAGATGCCCGTGTCGCTGGCCGCCGGCAGCCTGCCCACCCAGAGCCAGCCGGCCGCCGCTGGGCCGGCCGCCACCACCGTCCTCCAGGGGGTCACCCTGCCCCCCAGTGCCGTGGCCATGCTCAACACCCCTGACGGTCTGGTGCAGCCCGCCACCCCCGCTGCTGGTGGGGAGGCCGCACCTGTCCTCACGGTGCAGACGGCACCCCAGGCGCCCCCCGCGGTCAGCACCCCACTGCCTCTGGGCCTCCAGCAGCCGCTGCCGCAGCAGCAGCCACAACCGCCACCACCACAGGCCCCCACCCCGCAGGCCGCTGCCCCAGCTCAGGCCCCCACCCCGCAGCCCAGCCCAGGCCTGGCGTCCAGCCCGGAGAAGATTGTCCTGGGGCAGCCGCCCTCTGCCGCCCCCACAGCCGTCCTCACTCAGGACTCCCTGCAGATGTTTCTGCCCCAGGTAACCAGGGCCGCCGGGGCAGGGGAAGGGGGGCTGCGTGGAGGAGGGGGCCAGGACCTGGAACCGGACGCGGTTGAAGCAGCAAGTGGGGAGGAGCCCGGGGGTCAGGAAGGGCCCCCAGAGCTGCCACCCCTGTCTCAGGTCGCCGAGGAGGAGGCCCCGGGGCGACAGGGCCCAGCTGACTGACACCAAGACAGACAGATGAGGGGAGGGACAGAGAGACAGGCCGCCCTCTTGCTGGAGAGTTAGAGAAGGGTCCGAGAGAGAGTGGGCGAGACACGGACGGACAGACAGACGGGGCAGGAGAGATGGACGCTGGGGTGGAGCCGGAAGACAACTTGCGGGACCGGGGGGACTGAGCTACTCCAGGTCACGCCCCCTGGACCCTGGGGCTCCCAACCCCCTGACCTTGGCGTCTAGCTTCTGGGTGCCCTCCAACTGGTTCCCACCACCTCCTTCTTCAGAGCATCGGCTGGGGCGGGGTGTCGGGGTATGGAGGCCTTGGGTCCGTGGGGGTGGCCTCTGACCCGCTGTGGGCTGCCCGTTGCAGGAGAGGAGCCAGCAGCCCCTCCCCACAGAGGGCCCCCACCTCTCCGTGCCCGCCTCGGTCATAGTCAGCGCCCCGCCTCCCGCCCAAGACCCAGCCCCGACCACCCCCGTCGCCAAAGGAGCTGGCCTTGGCCCTCAGGCCCCCGACAGCCAGACCTCCCCGGCGCCGGCCCCCCAGGTAGACCAACCCCAGCAGCCTCTGTCCCAGCGCAGACCAGCCCTGCCCCTCGCCCCCCCTCCCCACCCCTCCACGCGCGCTCTGGCTGCCCTGCCTGCCGCTCTGTCTCGCTGGCTTGGGAAGCGGTGCTCCCCTTGGCTCCCCAGATGTTTCCTGAGGGTCTCCTGACAGCCGTGGATGCTTGAGACCACACTCTAGTCAGGGACACATAGTTAGGTCCTAGAATGATCATTTTTCTGTCTGGATAAGTAGCTCACATTTTGAGGAAGACACCAAGAAGTCTAGATCCAAGCCCCGCTTTCCCTCCCCAAGGGAGGGAAGAGACAAACGAAGAGACAAACGAAAAGACAGTGGGGTTCTTTTCCTTCCATTTTTACAAAAATGAAAGCAATACTCTACATGCATTCTGCACCTTTTATCATTTAGAAGTTCATCCTGGAGACTGTACTCCATTCTTTTACATGATTGCATAGTATTCCATCATGTGTGGGTGCTATTTATATAACCAGATATTGTTGGGAATTTAGGTCACTTTTGGTCTTTAGCTGTCAGATGAGCAAGGCTGCAAAGTACAACTCTGTACATATGTCTCTTTGTAGGATAAATTCTAAAAGGGCATTGCTAGGTCTAAGAGCATATGCATTTATAATTGTGACAGATATTGCCAAATTGCTCCCTGCAGAGTATAAATTGGTTTAATGGATTATCTGTGGTTGATCAGTATGTGATCTGTGGTTGTTTGCCCCCACTCTTAAGTGATATTGAACTTGGCCACTTGGATAGGTGAAAAACAGTATCTTGTTCTGTTTTAATTTGCATTTCTTTTACTGTAAATGAGGCTGGGCAGGTTTTTATAGATTTAGAGTTTTAGAGTTATTTGTGTTTTCTGTGGAATTATGTGTTCATACCCTTGGCCATTTTCAAATTTGGGTTGCTAGTCATTTTCTTGTTGGTTTGTAGAAACTCTTTACATATTAGAGAAATAGACATTGTCTCATATGAGTCATTAGCACATCAGCATATGAGAGGTTAGGATGGGCCCCTTTTATTCTGGAGGGATAGATGTTGCACTCATTCAAAAGGGATCCATGGGTAGGTAGATAAGGATAGGCAGAAAGAGGAGGAAATAAGATGAGCGAGGTCCAGGCAGGCAGAAATCAGCTGGACTTTGGCCTTCTATAGCCATGATTTCACGCTCAGGCTCTGCTACTCACCATGTGACTGGAAGCAACCAGCTTCTTCATTCCATCAACTGTTGTTTAGGGAAAAGAGAGCACGAAGTACGTGCCAGGCTTGTGCTAACCCTGGCCAAGTCCCTGTAACTGCTGAACCTCAGTTTCCTCATATGGAAAATGGGGATAGTAGTTTCTTTATACGTCTACTAGGACAAGTAACCGAGTTGATATGCGCTTTGCACAGAGTAAGCAGTCCAAAAATTTTGCTGTTGTTAGTATTACTTGGGGACTTCCTAGGTGGCTCAGTGGTAAAGAACCTGCCTGCCAGTGCAGGAAAGCAAGTTCGATCCCTAGGTCAGGAAGAGCCTCTGAAGAAGGAAATGGCAACCAACTCCAGTATTCTTGTTTGGGAAATTCTATGGACAGAGAGGAACCTGGCAGGCTTCGGTCCATGGGGATCACAGAAGAGTTGGATTTGGCTTAGCGACTCAACAACAACAAATGATTGTTTTAGCTGTTGTATTTGTGGCATCGAGTGCGGGTCAGTCCAGAGGGACATGGGGCCAAGATTTCCTCAGGTCATCTCTACACAAGGAGGAAAGGCAGGGGCCAGGGGCCACCTGGGCTATGAGAGACTCAGGTTGAAAGTACTGTTTCTAGGGTGGTCAGATGTGGGCCTGGGTCCCTGGGGCAAGGGCAGTCCCCTCTCCGAGCCTTCCATCCTCCGCTGGAACTTGGGGCTGGTAGGAGCCCTTCTTCCGAGCGCTGGGGTTGAGAGCGGGGTCCCGGCACGTATGTCATCACCACTTCAGTGTCAGACACCCTGCAGGTGCTTATCTGGACTTGCTGCTCGGCTGATCAGCAGTACCAGGATGGTACCTCCCCCAAGCCCCTTGACCTCCCTGGGCCTCAACTTCCTGACCTGTCAAATGGGTATGCGGACAATGGCTATTGTGAGGAATAAATGAATTGGTGTATATAAAGTGCTTCAACAGGGCCGGACATGTCGAAAGTCCTGGAAAGTGAGAGAGAAGCCCCGTGAATTTTCTGCCAAGGGCCAGTAGTAAACGTTCTAGGCTTTGCAGGACTGTCACTATAGCCTAGAAATGGCTCTAGATAAATGAATGAGCCTTGGTGGGCTCCCATAAAGCCTTACTTATGCACACTGATCAACCTCCTATCAGTGTCCTGAGTCAAAGAATATTCTTCTTCTGACTTCTTTTCAACCATTTAAAAGCGTAAAAACTATTCTGAGCTTGCAGGCCATCCAAAATGGTCAGCCAAGCGGGGCGGCAGGCCACATTTGGCTTCTGGGCCTTGGTCTGCCAAACCTTTTGAGATCTTTATTTTATTACGTAGATGAGCAAGGCTTCACTTATTCAGTCCCCTACTGGTGAACACTTAAGGTATCCAGTCCCACGGAATCGCTAATGAACACTCCCTCACATATTCTCATAGCGGGCTTTGCATGTGCGTGAGAATGCCTGTAGGTTGAATGTCTAGAAATAGAATTGCTGGATCGGAGGGTATCCAGTTGGCCCTCCAGATCTGCAGATTCCTCTCCATTGGATTCAACCACCAGTGGATGGAAAATATTCGGGGAAAAATATTCCAGAAAGTTCCAAAAAGCACCATTTGAATATGCTGTGTACAGACAACTACTTCCATAGCATTGACATTGTGCCTGTGTGCATGCGTGCTAAGCCGCGTCAGTCGTGTCCGACTGTTTGTGACTCCATGGACTGTAGCCCATCAGGCTCCTCTGTCCATGGGTTTCTCTAGGCAAGAATACTGGAGTGGGTTGCCATGCCCTCCTCCAGGGGATCTTCCCAACCCAGGGACTGAATGCACATCTCTTACGTTTCTGGCATGGGCAGGTGGGTTCTTTACTACTAGCACCATTTATTAGGTATCATAGATAATCTAGAGGTGATTTAAAATATACGAAAGGTTGTGTGTAGGTTATATGCAAATACTGCACCATTGGTATGAAGGACTTGAGCATCCTTGGATTTTGGTATCTGATGGGGTGAGCCCCTGTGGATATGGAGGGTTGACAGTACACACTGCCCAAGTATTTTATGGACCAGTCCAGCTGCTCCTTCATTAGGTTCATGCCGGTAAAAGCCTCCGTCAGCTTCCTCAACCCCAGATCAGCGACCCGCTCACTGCTCACCATGTGGGAACATGCATGCCCCCCAACTCCTGTGCTTCTGTTAAATTCTGCTTGATCTGAACGTCTTCCCATCTCCCCACAGGCAGTTGGAATCTCTCAGTAAACAGTCCACTCATGTGGGAGCTTTAAAAAAAAAAAAATGTAATTATAAAAATAATTTCATGCTTCTCTAGAGGATTTAAAAAATACAGAAAAGAACCAAGAAGAAAAACAAATCACCCGAAATACCAGCATGCAGAAGCTGCTGGCAACATTTTTGGTATGAAGTCTCCTTTTAGCCTTGCTTTTCTTCTTCCCATCCATTTCAAACATTGGTCCCTTTTGACATTGGGTAGTATACTCACATGGTTCAATCATGAAAAAGCTTTTTTTTTTTTAATCCTTTTTCTTTTTGTCTATGGTGTGTGGGATCTTAGTTCCCTAACCAGGGATTGAACCTGCGCCCCTGCAGTGGAAGCCCAGAGTCTTAACCACTGGACAGCCAGGGAAGTTCCACAAAGGATTTTTAACGTATGGGGGGAAGTATCCCACCCCATGCCTGCATTCCCAGCCCCTCCCCATAGCCTCAGCACTTACTTTTTTCTATTTTCTTCCAGCTCTGTGCACATACAACCTTGTGCAAGTGTGCGTTAACATTTCTCTCTACCCAGCAGGTAGCACATTATCCATGTGCTTGGGCAGCCTGTGGGGCGTTTCCTTGGTCCCTTGTTACAGTGGAGAAGCATTCCTCTGTGTAGAGGGGGCTGGATGAGCTTTCCTCCTCGGACATGCTGTCCTGATGCCCTTAGACCACGTCTGGGCTTTGGTCCTTCACACAGAGCTTGCAGTAAACTTCCATCATCTCATGTATGTGTATCTCTCTGGTCACTTCCCAGAAGCCTGTCTGTTGGATTAAAGCATAGGTGTACTTAGAATTTGCACAGCAGCTGCTGAATTGCATTCCTCTGAGGCTGTAGCACATGGTGCCAGTTTAGACTCCCACGAGCAACATGCGAGTGTCTTTATGAGACATATGACTTATTTGTAATGTGCGCCTGAACTTGGCTCCACAGGGCACCTTTGATCTGCATCTCTTATTACAAGGGACGTTGAGCATCTCTTGACATATTTAAGCCTTTTGTGTTTCTTTTTCTACACTGTTTCTGATCATATCCTTTGCCCCCGTTTTTCTTACTGCTTGTTACTCTTAGTGATTTCCAGAGGCTCTTTTTATATGAGAGATGAGCTTTGTCTCGGCTCTGTTGTTGTTCAGTCACTAACTCGTGTCTAACTCTTTGCGACCCCATGGACTGCAGCACACCAGACTTCCTTGTCCTTCACCATCTCCCAGAGCTTGCTCAAACACACGTCCATCCATTCGGTGATGCCATCCACCATCTCATCCTCTGTTGTCCCCTTCTCCTGCCTTCAATCTTTCCCAGCGTCAGGGTCTTTTCTAATGAATGGGGTTCTTCGCATCAGGTGACCTAATAAGTACTGGAGCTTCAGCTTCAGGATCAGTCCTTCCAATGAATATTCAGGGCTGATTTCCTTTAGGATTGATCAGTTTGATCTCCTTGCTGTCCAGGGGACTCTCACTATTTCCCCCAGTATGTCATTTGCTTCTTGACTTGGTTTGGGGGGAATGTGTGAGTATTTGTCCCTGTATGTTTATTGAGGATGTGAGTTTTTAAAAATATTTTTCAATTTTTTGGTTATTTTTAAGCTTTTCATTTTTAATTTGTTTCAAACATATAGCAAAGTTGTAAGACTAGAATGTAGGAATAATACCTATGTGAATTCTTTACTCTAACCAGATGTTTTAGTTACCTGTTGCTGTGTAACAGATTATCTTTCTTCCAAAGCTGGGCAGCTTGAAACAACAAACATTAACTTACCTCACATGATTTCTAAGGATCAGGAATCTGGAAGCAGATTAACTGGGAGGTTCTGGTTTGTGATCTTTTGGGAGATTATAGTCAAGATATCAGCCAGGGCTGAGTCATCTGAAGGCTTGGCCAGGCTGGACAGCCTGCTTCCAAGATGCTGCACTCGTGGGACTTCCCTGGTGGCCCAGTGGTTAAGGCTCCGTGTTTCTGCTGCAGGGCGTGAAGGTTCGATCCCTGGTCAGGGAACTAAGATTCTGCATGTCACACTGCGCAGCCAGAAAAACAACAAAGATGGTGCACTGGTAGGGCTGCTGGCGGGAGAGCGGACCTCCGTGGAGAGAAACTGAGGCCTCCCCAAAGGGCAGCTCACAACATGATCCACAGTCGGCTTCCCCTGAGCACGTAATCGATTAGAAAGAGAGCAAGGGAGCTGCCCAGGAGAGAAGCCAGTCTTTTTTAGAGCCTAATCTTGGAAGTGACACGTGATTACTTCCGCTGAGTTCCTGTGGCTGCGGAGAGCAACCCTGGTACAGTGTGGGAGGAGCCTGAAAACAGGGAGGCGGGGATTGCTGGGGGCCACCCCTGATTGGAGCCTGAAGACAGGAGGGCGGAGATCGTTGGGGGCCACCCCTGATTTTTAACCACTGTAAATATTTGGCCACATTCACTTTAGCCATGGCCCTCTCAACATGTATCCCTTATTCTCTTCCCGAGTCATTTGAGAGTCAGTTGCAGACATCATGCTTCTGCACCCCCTTCATATTTTGGTCTGATTATTTCTGTCTTTGACAATAACATTCACTCAACCACTGGAGTCATCAAATCCAGTGCATCTAGCATTGCGACAATACTGTTATCAAATCCACCGTCCATAATGCAATGCAGCCAGCCGTCTAGCAATCGTGTCGTGGATCGCTGTCCTTCTCTCACTCAGCATCTGATCTGTGTTGCCTCGGAAGCCTGTGCTTAGGAGTGCCAAGCGGGACAGCTCCCTTGGTTCTCACTGTCAGCTCCTTGCCTGCAGCTCCCACCAGCTTTCTTCTCTGGTTTTCTCTGTTGTAAATAGTCCCACGGTGGCCAGCCCTCTGAGCAAGAACCTGAATGTTCCTGATCACGAATTCCTGCAGGCGAGATTACCAGGTCCACTCGAGGCTCTTCTGTTTCATTTGTTTCATTTAATATCTATTTATTTATTTCCAAACTTTAAACTTATTTTGTTCTGGAGTATAGCCGATATCAATTTAGTGATAGTTTCAGGTGAGCAGCCATCCATGTACATGCATCCATTCTCCCCCAAACTCCCTTCCCACCCAGGCTGCCACATAGCATTGAGCAGACTTCCCTGTGCTCCACAGTAGGCCCTTGCTGATGATCTATTTTGAATACAGCAGTGTGTACATGACCTTCCCAAACTCCCTAACTATCCCCTTCCCCCTGCCCCCCAGCCCCCAGGAAACAGTAGGTTCGGTTTTTAAGTCTATGGGTCTCTTTCTCTGTTGTAAGTTCATTTGTATCATTTGGACTGGTCATTTTGGTTCCCTGGCCTCAGTGTCTCATCTGTGAAGAGGGTCAGATGTGATCACAGCTCTCAGGACCATGGAGAGATCCCACGAGTGCGCTGGGTCAGTGGGCGCTGTGGGGGG